AAATTAAAAAAAAAATATAAAAAAAAAAAACAAAAAAAAAAAAAAAAAAATTAAAAAAAAACAAAAAAAGTCTATTTATCTATTAAAAAAATGAAAGAAAAAAAAATTAAACAATAGGTGGACAAGCCCGCCGTCTGCCAACCCGCCACCTTGGCGGGATGAGCTAAACTTTTATGCCCATTTCCACTTAGTGGGCTTACCCGCCCCACTCTTATTTTGACAAGCTTAAGGTGAGGTGGGGCGGAGCGGGACGGGCGACCCGTTTTTCCAGTCCTAGTAGGAGGAATATGTACACCTGTATTTTTTGTCTAGTACACATTATATTACCAAAAAAAGGGAGATCACTAATCCCTAAGGGAGACAATCTTCCCATATTTGAGCAACTGGTTCATTCATAGATGCTGCCTAGAAATACGCAGAGGATAATGACATTTTATACTTGCTACAAGGCATTCTTAAAGGACTTTGAAATGATCGTGATACTAGCATCAAACAATTCATTTAAATTCTGAGCCAATGAGGCATTCTCAAGACACAAGTTTTCAAGGTCTTACTGGATGGTAGAAAATACGCATGCATAATGGATAAAGTAGCCTTCATAAAAACCAGAGCTTTATCGTTCCTTTTCGAGCCCTTCACCAAGAGTGTTACCTAATCGACTAACGATCCAGGGAGATCGATGTCACTCAAGGCATCACATATCCCGATAAGAGAAACATAAGATTATACTTCTTGCATGTATGTATCATGTTGAATCGTTAGGCTATAAATACTCTCTTCCATCAGCCGTTTCTCTTGGCATCATTGTTCAGACAAGAAAGCATACCAACGACTCGCGCCGCCAATGGCCAAAACAACATAAGCATGTTGGGCATAATACGCCAGATTTGACAAATCCTCCTCAAGAGCCTTGTCATTGGGTTGGAAAGGTAAGACCAATCTTCTTCCGATGTAGGCGCCTGTTGTTCTTTTGCAGTATGTGGACCCGACCTCGCCAAGAATGCAGAAGCCAGAGGATCCGACGCACACAATGAATATCATAGATCATTTAAGACACTAACACCTCCAGTGGGCCCTAAACGGATATGGGCGTTGATTGGCTTCATAGTATTTTAAGGATTCACAATAGCTGGAGTGGGTCGAATTCCCTATCTTAGTTGGCTGATTGTTTCCTCATTCTTCATCGTATATGAAAATAATGTTTACCAAAGATAAGGGAGTTACAAACAACTAAATCAACGATAGAGGGAAAATGTGTATAAAACTCACCAAAAATGACCCTCCTTTCTTCCTTGTTGTGAGTGTCCATCAACAAGAGAGTTTCAATAAGTTATTTCATATTTTTCTGTGAAGTCACGTTCAACTAGCTGTCTATTCAAATAAAGTTCCTCTTAAGGAAGATCGTCATCCTTATAGGCGTATAATCCATTCCCTATCAAGAAATGACCTTTGTTCCAGTACTTGTGAAATAGACTAGTACACATGTCTTCCAACTTGGTTTTTATGATACATGTGGATCTATGTGCTTGCCGGTATTAAAGATCAACATCTGGAGTTTTGATGTCGACAACACATGACGACAATCAGTTGCAACAATAAATCATATTAGAAGAAATCAAGACCAAATGCTTTTACAATCAGACAATATTCAGCAAAAGCATTGAAGCTTCCTTGATGCAAAGTGTGAAAACGTGTTGAGTCATGTCAGTTAGTCAGTCTGAGTGAACTAAGTATTGTAAAGATAATGATAGTATCTTAAGAGTACTAAGGAAACTCACACACACACTAAAACTAATTTTCTAAAACATTTTATCAAGAGAATTTTTTTTTAAAAATTCCTTGAAGTTGTGCCAGATGACTTAGGAGTTGTGGAAAAGACTAGAGGGAAAAATGTGTCTTATCTAATCGATAGGACTTTGGTCTAATTGATTAGATCAATTCAAAATTACGCCTCAAGTCATTTAGACAACGCCTTAAAGATATGCAACGACTCTATATCAAAACCTTCCTTTTCGGGCATCTTAATGGTCATGTTTTGAGATCTAATTGATTAGGCTAATAGATTAAATAGTTAATGAAACCCATGGATCGTTTCCTTTTTGGGTGATTCCAACTGCTATATAAAAGGAGGCCTCTCTCACTTGAAATCACACCACTTTTCAATTTTTTCATATTTTTTGGAACTTATCTTTCTTTCTCCTCTTGAATTTTTTATACTCACTACCAGTTTCCTGAGTACTATTGAGTGAAGCTCTATCTGTGAGGAGAGTATTTTTGTAAGTGGTAGTGCTGGTCATTTATAGTCTTGAGGGTGAAATACCTTTAAGAGATTGAGTTTTGGTTCTTGAGATAAACCATAAATCTCTGTTATTGGTTTTTTAAACTTCGCCAAAAAAAGCTTTGTTTTGGCTAAAGAGATCAACCATAAATCTCTAATTCTTTCGAGAATAAGTTGGGGTAAAAGTCGTCTTTAGGTTGGGGATAAGTCTATTTAAAATCTCAAGATCAGATTGTATTAAGGTTCACGGGCATAATCTTTAAAAGATCAAAAGTTTATAGTTAAAAATCTCAAGAAGACCTGTTGGGGACAGGACTAAGCCAATGTTCGGTCAAACCTGAATAACTCTTTGGTGCAATCTTTCTATCCTTATCCTTTTTATTTTCAGCAATTTACTTTCATGTACTTTACTTCCACAAAGCTTACTCACTTATAAACTTACTAATACGGTCTTAATCGAGAAAATTTTAAATTAATCACGTTTTTTTAAATACCACAATTCACCTCCCTATTGTACTTGAGGTCACTTGTCCAACAAGACACACATGACACGGGCCTCTTTATGGAAAGGAACAACCAAGAATAATCAATTTTCAAAATGCTTCAGGCTCTCCAAAAAATTCTAAAGTTACGAATAATCTGCACCGGGTTAATCAAGCCATGGCACTGCGTTTGTGTTGCAGAACTATGTTGTACTTTGATGAGATGGAAGAAAAGGGACAAATAGGACTCCCCCTTTGATATCTGTACCTGTATTGGAAGACTTTAAATTACGCCTCTCGCATGGTGCAGCTGCAAAGGAGCAACCAACAAGTTATTCAAAATTTCTATTTCAAAGTTTTGAAGGGCAATAAAAAATCCATGACCGAGAAGGTACATTTATATAAAGGAATGACACATTGGTCATACTCGATACACATTTTGTTGTCTTCATCAGAGGTTAGTATGCCCCAATCCAAATAAGGACCTACGTCGAGAAAGGTGCTATCAAGGATTAACCCAAGAAGCAGAAACATCTTCTTTGGGTTTTTGACTTTTTATAGACATTGCTTTCTTCAATTATAAATAGATAATATGTTGTAGAAGTGCAGATGACAAAGAAACGAAGTAACACCTCAATAGACTGCAAAAATGATTCTTCAGGAATGGCGTGATGACTTACCAAAAGGCACTAAGCACTATTGGTGCTCCAAATTGCCTCAAAAAGACACTGGAGTATTTCAGTTTCCAAGATTCAATGTGAGCAGACCTACGAAAGGACATATGAAGCATGAGGTACATTAATGGCGCAAATTCCCAAAAACATAATCATTACCTTTTGGTTTTCCATTCAAACAGGATATGATCAGCAGGAAGGAGCAAATACGACAAAAACCCACGTAGTGCTGAGAAGAGACAATGACTTAGGGACAATTGTTCTAGGCCAACCAGAAGAGCCAATATGACCGACCTAAATAAAGCAATGATTCGTCTAAAACGCCCGCAGCATAGGCGTACTACCCTAGAGAATATCATAGGAGATCTAGTGCTAAAATACATCCAAAGGCTACCCATATTTCATGCTTTAAAGATAGAGGGTGGTTACAACTGCTCCTCTATATAAACGAAAAGTGTGTTATTCTCAGGTATAAAATTTTAAATTCATACTTCATTCACTCATCTCATTTACATATTGACTACACTATTGGAGTTCTAACCTTACAGGTCAGTTCCTCCTTCACCGCGCCAGAAATTCAAATCCATTATTAGACATTACAACTATCATTTTTCGATCAAATTATGATTTCATAACGGGTCAAAATATAATGGTTTTTTAAACACTCGAAATTCGATTTTTTTCCCAACAAGTATTAGTCAAATATTTAATAGTTAAACCATAATTATTATCAAGATTCTTTTTAATCTTTTTGTAGAACCTGAAAACAATGAATATAAATATTGAACAACTCTAAACAAAGAAATAGTCCTAACACAAGAATGTGGCATATTATCAAGAGTAAGATTAAGATTATGACAAAAATACATATAATAAATACTCTAGGATTAATCTCAAAACATCTCTTTTGACCGCCTTATATTTTTCTTTCTTATTGGAACGATTATCATATTTTTTTTAACCTTATATATATACACATATAATGAAAATAAAAAATGAGTCTGATATTATAATTTTTTATATGAATATTTTTTTAAAAATTAACCTCTAAAATTTTCGATCCTACTATGTTGTCGCATCCTGCGTTAGCACTTGGTCGTCCGTAAACACAATCTAAGTCTGTATATCCTTAAAATTTAAGAGAAATTAATTTATATATTTTCACAACATAAAAAAAAATCAAAAGTCAGTGTACGATATTAAGATTTAAGAAAAAAGATATACACGTGTATATATATTCTTTGAATAATCTATCATTATAGATTTATAGTAGTGTGTATATCAAGCCTGCGTGGAACTTTCTACGCACCTTATTCCTTCAAAGCCATCTTTGACTTTGGTTTGAAGAGGAAACCAAGGTAAGTAGGTTCAAATAGTTGACTAAAACGTATGGTTTAAAAAAAATAAACACTAACATTAATCCCTTTTTGCTTCGTACATTCCAATATAATAATATTTAATCCTAAGTAATCATGTGACATGAGGCTATAAAAGTAGCCATTTCTATTCATTGTGACACAACACATTTTTATTTTTGACATCAAAGAAAATAGAAGCAGAGCAACAATGAGAAAGAGCTATGTCCAATCATCAAGCACCAACCAAGAGAAGAAAAACCCTTCATCATCTTCATCAACTTCATCATTTTCATCATCTTCATCATCACATGAGACAGAGAAGAAAGCAATCACTCATCAAACAAGAAAGCTAGAGAGGTTGCCAAGTGAAGAAGATATCAATGCAAGTGCTGATGCTTTCATTAAGAACTTTAGAAAGCAGCTTAGGCTTCAAAGGCTTCAATCTATTGAGAATTATGAAAAAATGCTTGCTAGGGGACGATAGTTTATGATATATATTCTATATATTCTATATATTTAAGGTTAATTATGAAGTAAAGTTGTGAATTTCATTGTGTCTTTTGGATATAGAAAAGTTTTAAGTTAAACTGTATACCTTAAATTTGTATTCATTGCCATGTGCATACTTTTTTATTTTTAATAATAATGGTTGATTGAATAAGCCTTTATAGATGGAATATTCTTCTCCCATTTCTGCATGAATTGGAAGATTAGTGGAATATACAAAAGAATTGTGTCACTTTTCGTTGTCTAAAAAAAGTTAATCAAAAATAGTTTTGGTAAAACTTAGGGACATAGCACCTCTACGTCCTTTCATGTAAGAAATATGCTCGTCCCTCACCATCTTGAAATAGCCTAATCAAGGATATGGGCAATCTCTCTAGCCTCGTCAAACAAATAAGATGTACCTTTAAGCCATGTTTCATTGTCGATATATATAGAAATATGATTAATTTAGTATAAGAGGTTAGATACATTGTTAGTATATAGGGAAATGTTAACGCTTGTAAGTGTACCTTATCTTCTTCATTGAAATGCTCACGGTACCATGTGGGTGTATCAATCTCATTGACAACATAGCATTTGTGCCATAATCCATCTTGAATGATGTTTTCTTAATGGTGAAATGGGGTGTCCTCTTATACGACCATAAATCCTCGTATAAGTTGTTCTACGCATGAAACTTTGGCTTTGTCCAACTTATTCTTTATTCTGCAGAGGATTATTGTATTGCCTGATTTGGCTTATGCATTAGTTGGTGGGTGGACGACTGAGAGGAACTTCTTATAGATTCTAAGTTAGTGGTAGAACTCTACTACGGTCGAGCTAGCTATATGGGTTCCATTATTTGAGACGATACTTCTCGAAAAATCAAACTTGCAAATGTTCACTTCTAACAGAAATTCATGATAGTTTCCACCGGTGATTTAAAAAATTGTCTTTACTTTGACCCACTTAGTAAAGTAATTTAGACCTACGGGCATGAACTTTTGTTGACTTGGCGCCAAGAGGAAAAGACCTAAGATCTATATGCCTCATTGATAGAAAGGCTAGAAGGACATAATATAGTGCGAAATTCTGGCTAGAGTATGGCGAATGTCAGAATGCTTATGGAATTTCTTGCATTTCTTAACAAATTTCACATTATCCTTCATTATGGTTAGCCAGTAGTAATCGGCCCTTAACAGTTTATAGGTGAGGGTTCTTCCTCCAATGCGGATTGTATACACCCCTTCATAGACCTCTATGAGAACCACGATGGTCTAATTTTTCGTCAGACATCTTAGCATGGAGAAAGTCATTGCCATCTTGTAAAGTTTTCCAGTTACCATGGTGTAATTTTTCGCCAACCTTTTAGTCTTCTTTGCTTTGCCTCATTTGAAAATAACTCTTTTTATTAGATAACACGTAATTGGTGCAACCCAACTAAGAAAAATTCTATATGGTTTGAAGCAAGCACCTAAAGATTGGTATTAAAGGTAAACTGAGTTTTTTGTCAACAATGGCTACAGGAAAGGAGAAATAGACAAGACCTTATTTGTTAAAGGTAAACTCATGATAGCTCAAATATATGTTGACGAAATTGTATTTTGAGGGATGTTGAACCAGATGGTCCAACATTTTGTCAAGCAAATGCAATCTGAATTTGAGATGAGTCTTGTTTGTGAATTAACATATTTTCTTAGTCTTCAAGTCAAACAGATGGATGCTACTATCTTCACTTCTCAAAGCAAGTATGGTAAGAACATAGTGAAGAAGTTTGGTCTTGAAAATGCCAGTCATAAAAGGACACCTACAACAACACACTTAAAATTAACTAAGGATGAAAAAGGTGTTAATGTAAATCAAAGTTTGTACAGGAGCATGATTGGTAGTCTTTTGTATCTTATAACTAGCAGACCTAACATCACTTTTGCTGAAGGAGTTTGTGCAAGATATCAGACTGAGCCTAAAATGAGTCACATCACTCAAGTGAATAGGATCTTGAAATACATCAATGGTACTAGTGATTATGGCATGTTGTACTCTCATAGTACTGACTCAATGCTTGTATGTTACTGTTATCCTGACTGGACAGGTAGTGCAAATGATATAAAAAGTACTTCTGGAGGATGTTTCTTCTTGGGAAACAATCTTATCTCTTGGTTTATTAAGAGGATAAATTGTATGTTTTTGTCTACAGCTGAGGATGAGTATATTTTTGCAAGAAGCAGTTGCTCTCAATTGATTTAGATGAAACAAATGCTACAGGAATATAGTGTCGAGTAGGATGTCATGATATTATATTGTAATAATCTGAGTGCAATTAACATATCAAAGAATCCCATCCAACATAGAAGGGCAAAGTATATTGGCATTCATCATCATTTTATTAGGAATCTTGTTGAGGATAAATTTGTGTCTCTTGAGCATGTGGCCACTGAGAAGAACCTGAAAGACATATTTACTAAGGCTTTGGATGCAAATAGGTTTGAGAAATTAAGGAGTGAATTGAGAATTTTCACTTTTGAGGAGTTATAGCAATTACAGGTGTGGAGGAGTGCAATAGACACTTTCGATTCCCTCCATTTAATGGTGTACGAAAATTCTGGTCAATCTAGTTTGAAGGATGTTGTTCATGACATTGTTGATAATAATATTTGTGTGTTAATCTTCAAAATCTTGAATGTTGAACCCAAGTCTGATGTAATTTGTGCACATTGTGTGTTGTTGGTCTGCTACATGATAGTTTTTTGAAAATTGTGGCTAAAAAGGGGGAGAAGTGGTTATGATGTGTTTTGATATGGTTATATGTCTTTTAGAGGTAGTACTACTTGAGGGTAGTAGTAGTTTTTGCTCCTGATCTAGTGTTTAAGCATAGCATGTTACTTTGATGCTAAGATAACTGTGAGATACTTGTGAAGTCATACCTGATGTCTTTACATCTCGATTGTGACTTGTGAGAGTTTATTTGTGCTCTGTGATGCTGCGATTTATCTCTTTCTACTGTGTATGCCTCTGATGTGAACTGGTGAAGTTCCAATTTCTTTTGTGCATTGTTTTTGAATATGTTCTTCTGAGGTAATGTTGAAGCTTTATTCCTCTTGTTCTTGGATTCTTGTGCTATAATTTGGTATTTCCAAGATGGTTTATGCAAAGGTTGTTTTAGCCAAAATTTGTCAAAGGGGATGATTATTAGGCTTTGATGTGTTGGATGTATTTTGTTAAAACAAGTAAGGCATGTTCTAACATGTTGGTACGACATTGTAGCTCAAGATTTATTTTTCTTTTGTGAAGATTTTTTTTAGCGCAAGATCACTAAAGATTTGATGGAGATATGATTTGTGCAATTTATGATTAATTAAGCATGTATTTTGCAAGGCTTCAAATATCTTATCTGATTTTTTTTGTTTCACAAGATCAGATGTCGTGACATTCCAGGAAACATCATATTTTGCCTCAGAATATTCTACTGAAGTTTGATTTGCAGGATTGTTTAGCCAGATTTGATCTTCCAGCCCAAGTTGTTTCTTTGACTATAAAAATAAAGTTTCTAAACCTAAAAAGACTATTTGGTATTCATTATGAGCCTCTCATGTATCATTTGGTGCTTGAGTTAGACTGATAGTTAAGTTGTAATTGTGAATCACTCATAAGCTTTTAAGCAGTAGTGGATTCTATTTATTGGAGTCTGTCTTCTTCTTGTTTGTTTTGTGTTCCTGATAACTACATTTTACACTGTATTTTCTAACTTGATTTGCTTCGCATTTAGTCCATTTTACTGTTTATTTTATAGTATTACGTCGGTTATATTTGATTATTGCAGGTATTTTCCAAAGATAAGAATTCGGGTGAGAAACTGACAAAAGGTGCAAAAGTTTGAAGAAAATACAGAATTTACAAGTTTATGGTGCATGGTGTCCGCCATGGCCTCATGGCGTTTGCGATGAACCCCATGGCCACGTCATCCACTCACTTAACCATGGCGTTCACCATGGCCTCATGGCGTTCACCATGGTTGCGCAGAACAGAAAAATCAGGAAACAACTTAAACCAATCCACACCATTTCTCCTATTTTTTGTCCATGATTCCACCACGACTTTGAACGTATTTTAGAGGTTGTATTAAGTATTGTAGTTTTGACATATTTTGGGTATCCCAATTTTCACGTAGAAGCAGTTTAGTCTTGAGTAGATATTTTCATCTTTAAATAGTGGTAGAGCTCTCACACCGGAGGACTACCACACCATTAGTCTTAGGAAATTCATCTGTATCTTGGTTCAAAGCGTGCCAACATATTTATTTCCAGTTTCATCGTTGTACTCAAAGAATTCAATTTGAAGTTTAATCCATTTTTATTTTTCAATATTTCCTTCAGGTTTATTTAATTGCAGTTTTTATAGTTTATCTTTCTATTGTGCGTGATCTTAACATATTGCTTGTGTCGTTGTTGTCCCGTGTTATTATCATACTCACAATAATTTGTTTTATATCTTAATCATGTTTAGGTTTGTATCCATTAATTACAATTTGATACTTAATTCAAAAATCATGTCTGACTAATTTGTTTTGAGTCTGGTATATGAGGATCGTCGTTCCGGCGAGACACGATAATGATTTGAGGCAAATACTATTCATAAAAATTAGTAGAAGACTTGTGCGTTCAAAGTTCATTTATAATTTAAAATATTTGATAAGGTTTGATTGTTGCTAATATAAAATTGTTATTATAAAATTATTAATAATTATAAATATTTAAAGATAAATATGTAATAAATCACCAACATTATAAATCCAATAATGTCTAATAACTAAAAATATTTATAAATATCACTAATGACAATAAATATTTATAAAAATTTTATTGATTAAAATATTAAAAAATAATGTGGTGATAGTGACCTGTAAAAATAATGAACTTTAACGATAAAAAAATAAAAAATAAAAAACACTTCGTAATCTTTGTAAATATAACAACCAATATAAATTTTTCAACCAACCAT